GGGATTCTCTTGCATGTTCAAGTTCCAGCACCACTGATTTACCTGCTAGGGTTATCTGGAGGATTAAATGAGCTAATGCACGTGCAACACTGGGTACCTGGAGCAGTTGGCGATCCCTGCAGTTAGCTGGTATTAGAAGGGGTTGTATTGCCACGCATGGTGGCACATGCCTGTAATTCCAGCTACTTGGGAGGCTAAGGCAGGAGAATCCCCGAGCCTGAGATGTGGAGGTTGCAGTGAGCTGAGGTTGTGCCACTGCACTCCAGCCTGGGTGACAGAGCGAGACTCCATCTCAAAAAAAAAAAAAAAAAAAAAGTAGCTGGGTTGAAGAAATGGACTGCATAGTGGCTGCCCCCTTCAAATGGGGCATGTACCCTCTGTTCCCCCAAGGCCCTCCGTGCCTTCCTCACTTATTTTTGCCATCCACCTGGCCCCTGGAGTCACTGGACTTTGCAAATCCCATCTCAGGATTTCAATTTCCCTTTCCCAGGCCCTTCCTATTGGGCGCCTCCCCACTTTCACTATGAGGCAGTCCAGCCCAGCCTACTGTTTTCCCAGCCCTGTCATCCAAGCTCTGCAAGGCTGAGGTTTCCTGGCCCCACAAGTCTGGGGTCCTGTAAACCTGGCAGCCCCTGCCTCTCTCCTTGCCCTCACCCATGAACCTCTGATGCAAGGCAGAGAGTATTGAGGGGTTCGCAGCCCCCGGACCCTATGCCCCAGGGGCTGCAGAGGCTGTCCACAGGCACTCAGGCTGCTTCCGTTTGTCCCTGGCCTGCAGACGTTCGGGCAGCGCCTGTACCAGCAGTACACCTGCTACACCGTGTTCTTCATCAGCATCGAGGTGTGCCAGATTGCCGACGTGCTCATCCGCAAGACGCGCCGCCTCTCTGCCTTCCAACAGGGCTTCTTCAGGTGTCCCTGGCTGGCCCCCTCCTGCCCTCCAGTCCCTGGTCCCAACTCCCATCAGATTCTGACCATGGTTTGGAACAGCTGGCAAACACCAGTGGGTGCTGATGCCAGATGCTGACATGCCCTAACACTTTTCTAACTGACCAATAGTTCCCCCGCGGCCCCTCCACACTTCACTGAAGGGGTGGTGCTGAGAGGCCCAAGCCACTCCATGTTCAGAGTGTAGAACACCTCCCTGCTGCTGCTGACATCAGACCTACTTTGACCCACAGTATCCTAATTTCCGTCAGGTTCCCAGTTCCTAACGGCCTGTCCCATCCTGCCGCCCCACCCCGCAGGAATAAGATCCTGGTGATCGCCATCGTGTTCCAGGTCTGCATCGGCTGCTTCCTGTGCTACTGCCCTGGCATGCCCAACATCTTCAACTTTATGCCCATTCGGTGAGAGGCTGTGAGCGGCGAGCAGAGGGAGGGGGCTGCAGGACACAGGCCTGGGATGGCCTTCACCTTGCCATGTGCCTTCAGGTTCCAGTGGTGGCTGGTCCCCCTGCCCTACGGCATCCTCATCTTCGTCTATGACGAGATCCGGAAGCTTGGAGTTCGCTGTTGCCCAGGAAGTGAGTGTGGAGACTGGGGGTCTGGGGACAGGGCACTGAAATGTTTCGAGCAGCTGCACCCACCTTTGATCCTCAACACGTGGCCTCCAAGCCCTTGACCCTCCATAGCAACCACCACTGATCCATGACCCCCGAGTCCCTGGCTCTGCCTAAGTGGCACCCCCAGCACTGAGTCTCCTTGTTCCCTCTCTCCAAGGCTGGTGGGACCAGGAACTCTACTATTAGAGGGACGACTGCCTTCAAGCATCCCTGCAACTGCCACGGCAGGTGGGGGCAGGGCTCCTGGGACCCTCTGGACAGCCACCAAGACATCTGAGCTACTAAGAGTCCCAGCCCCACCAGTACCTGCTTCTGCAGTCCACGGCACCCCAACCTTGGAAGGACCCTGCCCACTCCCCTTCCCCATCCCCAAGGTTTGCACCTCCTGGAACAACAGTACCTGGGCACAGTCCTCTGAGCTGGCCTCGGGAAAGCCCCCACCTGCGGTGGTGCTGGGGCTCTGACAGGGAGTACAGCTGGCCACTCCTGGAGGGTTTCTGTCCTTAGGACTCCAGTCCAGGCAGGAGGGCTGCCCAGGGGCCCTTCGTTAAAGACACGCTTGTGTCCTGAGACGGTAATAAAACCAGCTCATGCTGACTGTGCGGTATCCAGTGCCAGGCAGTGTCCTCAGCGCCTCCTGTTAGTGACTGTGATCTCCCACAGTCCTACACATGGGGGCTGTTTATTCAGGGCTGTACCTCCAGTGCCTAGAACACAGCCTGGCACATAGTAGGTGCTCAATAAACCTGCCTTGGGGGAAATGATTCCTATTTCTTTGCCCAGGGTCACGGCATCTAAAGGCACGCTGGGCCATGACCACAGGCACCCCTACCACCTCTGGGCTTTCTCTATTCTCCCTCCTGGGGGCTCCCGGACACAAGGGGCCCAAGTCATTTGCACATCAAGCATCCCCCACCCCCCACAGGTGTCTCCCCTCTGAGCCTACCTGCTTGCTCCTCTGTCCCAGCAGTGGCCAGTTCATGACCAACTCCTTGAGGTCCCCTCTTCACACACTTCACCTGAAAGGTTAACCCCTCTGACTGCTGGAGACACCTTCCTCCCCATCCCCCCACCTCCCACCTCTACCGCTCCTTTCCCAGTCCCCTTTGTTCACCTCTCTTCCTTTCTTTTCTTTTCTTTTTTTTTTTTTTTTTTTTTAGAGATGGTGTTTCACCATGTTGGCCAGTCTGGTCTTGAACTCCTGACCTTGTGATCCACCCATCTCAGCCTCCCAAAGTGCTGGGATTACAGGCATGAGCCACCGCGTCCAGCCTCTTTCTCTTTCTTACGGCTTTCTCTGGATAGGGCCTGGGCTTCTCCTTCCTTGTGATCACAGCCCCTCAGCCCCCTGTGGCTTCAGATATCTCTGCAGTGAGACCAGTATCCGAGGTGACCTACACTGGCCTCTGCATCTTCCCCCAAACCTGTACCCATGCACTGACCAAATCTGATAGTCCCACTGTCCCATCAGTGTGGTCCCTTCTCCCTTGGAAACATAGTGAGCCCTGGGGCTTACAAACCCCAAACTCCTGTTATCCGGGAACTCCTTGCTCCTCCCTTATCTGCTGTCGCCCCACAGCGCCCCCTGCTGGTAAATAAATACTGATCACCAACACCCCGGCTTAGCTTCTAGCCATTCCCCCCACTCCACCAGCCCTGCTCCGGTCCAGCCCTGGCCTCCTGGTCTCAGCCTCCCCACTCCAGCCAACAGCCATGCAGAGCTCCCTAAAGCTGCATCTGACCCTGTCCTTCCTCTGCCTAGAGCTCTCCATGGTTCCCAAAGCCTTCTGTGATCTGACCTCCACCAGCTTCTGTAGTCTCACAAGCCCCCTTGAACTCATTCCAACCAGTTATGTTCCCTTGGGGAAAACAGGTCCCCCCTCTGACCTCAAGACCATTACCTCTGCCTTGCCCCAGTCACTCATTCTTCAGGTCTCAGCTCACATGTGCTCTGCTCAGGGGAGCCCACACTGCTTCCACAGCAGGTCAGGCGGCTCCTGTGGCTCCCCATAACCCGGGTGTTTCCCCATCATAACTCCAATCACCTGCAGCCTGGCTCACCACAGTCCTGCCGCCTAGGCTTCACTGTCCTCTGCCAACTCAGCCCTAACCACTCCAGTCTCTCTCATGAACCCCATGTAAGCGGGGATTATTCCAGTTGGTAATTTCTGCAACTGACACTTGTCTCAAAATGTGTAAAGAGCTATGTGGGGCATGGAAGTGTAGAAGAAAGTGACCCTGTCACAAGTCCACTTAGATAGACTGCCCCATCTAATTCCTTTCCACATCAACATCAAGGCGATCAATCATTTCCAGCTCCCAAGGGACTCCTGGACCCTGTCTTTATTCCGAACCATGAGAAAGAGTGGGCCCAGATGGCGGCTGCCCTGCCTTAGGGCAAATGCTCCCTCTGGAAACACCGAGAGGGTCACAGCGAGCTTTCCTAGGCGCAAGCTTAAATAATATCATGTGGAACCTCAAAAGCCTGGTGGAGAAGGATGGGCAACTGCCCTATCCTGCTCCCCGGGGCACCCCACTGAAACACCAGGGCTGGGGAGCACCTTCTTGAGTGGGAGGGTGTGCATCGAAGTGGAGCTTAAACATGACATTCAAAGCTTCTGACATATCCCCTCAGAGAGAGGTGGGGAATGGGGCAGGGAGCTGGCTTTAGTGGACCAAGGAAGGCTGAGGGCATGGGGGCAGGAAGGGGGGCACCCAGGACAATGTCCAAGCTGGGGCCCCACTGCTCTGCTCCTTGGCTGCAGCTGTCTTTCTACTCCACCCTGAGAAGGCTCAGGCCAGGATCTGATCTGCGGGCCACAGAACTGAGGGGCTCGTGGTCACAACTCTCCCCCCAGCCCCATGCCGACCCCATGGCTTGAACAATGTGAAGAATCTGGCTGGGCAAATCATTCCAGGAAGCAGTTTCAGAAAAGCTGGTTTTGCTGGCTGGGTAAATCCAAAGGCCAAGCAACTGAACCGTCCATTGTGTAACAAGGGGCCACAAGTGGGAGGATGACAAGGTTAGATTTCAGATAGATCCCCTGGCTGCCATACACAGGACAGATTGGAAGGTGACACTGGGGCCAGGTGCCTCAGAAGTAACCAGCCCGGGAAGGGTACATGTGGGGAGGCCCAGGTTGAGGCTATAAGGAGAGGAAGCGCCCCCCAAGGGCCCTCTCTGGAGTCTAGCTCCCCGTTATCACCTGTTCCCTGAGGGCCCTGGCCTCTGCCACTGCTCAGAGATCATCCTAACCTTCTGTCTACCCCCAGAAAACAAGGAGCCTGTGGAACTGCTCCCGGACATGACACAAGTCAGTGACTGGCTAGCTTCCAGCTTGTCTACCTCCCTCCTGAGCCAGAACCAGGGCCTCTGGGACCCAGGTGGACACAGTATTGGGAGACAGTTCCCAACAGAGAGAAATGGCGGCAGCAGCAGCTTTCCAAATACTGTTTACTTCACTAAAACCTGGAGCAAGGCAGGGAAAAGGTATGCTAATGTCTGAGACACCAAGCCTAGGAGTGCACGTTGACAACGGCGACATAGAGGGCCAAGGTGCTGAGGGCCAGCAGCCCCGTTACTACTGCCCGGGCCAGCAGGGCTGTCCAGCTGCCCAGCGAGCAGAGGTGGACAAAGGTCCTGCGGGAAAATGTCACAATGAGGGAGGGAGAATAGAATAGACAACCCATCCCCCTCTGGACCCAGCCACAAACCCCACTCAGCTCACTCCATAACAAAGGCCTTGTAGACACTAAGGAACATCAGCAGGAGGACAGCCGGCCGGAAGGTGTGGTACAGATCATAGCGTGTTATCATCCAGACCTGGGCAGACGCGACGATGTAATGGACCTAGAGGGAGGTAGAAAGTCGGGGCCAGGCCTCGGGGAGGACTATGGCCACCAGCAGAAACGTGTGTAGGTGAGAGCAGGTCCGCGTACCAGACTGATGTTGGAGTCTATGCTCATCTGGATGTACTTCCAGTCAAACTCAATGCCCCGGGCTCCGACCCATAAGGGAATGCAGCTGAGGAAGGCAAAGGATGGGATTCTCTAGTACCCAGACACCCTCAGCACCAGGCTCTGAGCCCCCGCCATCCAGCACCCCCATGGAACCCAGGTGTCCCTTCTCAGGGGTCTGGGCTCCAGGCTGCTGCACGCACCGGGACATAATAAGCTCGGCGGTGGCCCAGCCTAGGGCAGCAACCATGATCTTGTACTCCCCCTTGCCGGCATTCCGGGACATGACAAGGTTTAGGCCTATCAGGTCGGCCACATCCACGCTGGCCTTCATGAACTCCTGAGGGTCAGGTTGAAGCTTAAGTAAGCAAAGGGGACAGGGAGCCCCACTCCTGCACTCCCTCCCCTTCCCGGGCCCCTCTCACCCCAATGAAGTCATAGATGCCGCCTTCCCAGGTGGGAAAGAAGGTGGCCAAGAACAGCATCTGACAACAGAAAGCAGAAAGAGGTCACTTCAAGGTGAGGGGATCACAATCAGCCACATGGGTTTTGTGGGAAGTTCGTTTGTATAAGGACGGCAGGACAGGTTCCGGGAGCCCATCTGGAAGAGGAACCACCAGATGATGACAAGATTACAGGCATGGGAGAGATAGATAGGTCCCCGGGTCCTTGAGGGGGCTGGAAGTTTAAGTTCTCGGTGATCACAGGGCATCTGAGTCAGGTCTGAACGTGCTGCTCCTTGGGCAGTGCTAGCAGTACGTGGGGAATGAGCGAACACTCTTAACTGCATCAAAAAAACCTCTTAGCCAAGCACACTACTGAGGTTTTCTTAATTTTACTAAGTGCTACGCAAAAGTTGCTTCTAGGCTTCTTTTCAGGTCATGCCCTCTTTAAAGTCCATCCTCTCTAGGTATCCCGACACCATCCCATTGCGGAGTCCCGAGGGCGGTCCCACCATCGGGGATACGCAACGGGGGCGGGTCCCTAGGTCTGCAGAGCCTAGTGGCCAGACACGTGGGGTCTCGACGGTCCTCACCTTGCAGAGCTGCACAAAGAGGTAGGTGACTCCAGCCTGGACGCATTTCCAGAAGGCGTTGTACTCTGACCTGGAGAAGCGGGCGGTGAGGGTCGGCCCGGGCCCCGCACCCTCTCCGCCCCGCGCCCTTCCCACACTCACAGGCCGCTGCACTTGTAGGTGATGAAGTAAGGGAAGTAGGCGAGAGCGAAGCAGTTCCCGAAGTGAAACAGGGTCATGACGCCAGCCGCCCGGTCCCGCCCGCGCGGGGATAGCGAGGCGGCGTCTCCCGGAGCGGGTCTCCGGCTCCGCCGTTGCTTCCGCCGCGGCCAGGGCCTGGAGCCCACCTGACTGGCCGCGACCCGCGCGCGGCCTTCTGGGAGCCGTAGTCCCGGCGCGGGGCGTCGCGCCCAGTGACGTCAGAGCGCCCGTGGCCGGCCCGGGTTCAAAGGGCTTCTGGCCCAGCGCTGTGGGGAGCGACTTTCGGCCACGCGGGGTTTCCCCTGCTGCCACCGCCGTCCCAGTCTCCCGAAGTGGAACCCGGCTTGGAGTCGAGCGCGACCCCTCACCCGTGGGCGCAGGCGATCGAATAAGTGTGGGGCGGGCCTTAAACCCGAATCAGAACCCGCCGTGACTGGCGGCAGAGATGTGGGACACAACTGTGAGCACTGTTCTTTATTTCACCATGGCCTCAGCGGCGTGGGGCGCCCACCCCGGGTGCCCTTCCTCCCCCGGAGAGCCAGAGAGCCAGATCCTGGAACGGGAGGCACAGGTTCCGGCCCTGGCCCCTGGGAGGGAAAGAAAGGACCTTCCCGCTTCACTTGTCTCGGCTAAACATGTGGCGGAGGAGGTCGACCACCCGGTGACTGTAGCCATATTCGTTGTCGTACCTGTGGAGGAGGGATCAGGAGGTTCAAGGGGGTCCCTTCCGACCACCCCTTAGTTCTCCTCCTATGGAGTCTCCAGCCCTTTCCCCCTTACCATGAAATGAGCTTCACGAAATTATCATTGAGCGCAATGCCGGCCTTAGCATCGAAGATGGACGAGCGGGTATCACCGAGGAAGTCCGTAGAGACGACCTGAGCGTCCGAATTTCAAAGATAAGTGTGGGCGGCAGAGCAAGGACCTCCAGAAGCTCAGGCCCCGACTCCTAGGCACATCGTGCATCCATGCGTTCATCTACAATATGTGATGTAGCCCTACCGTGTCCAGTCTCTAGGACAGGGTATGACGAAGGCAGATGGGTGCTGTCTGTCGGGCTCTGGCCAGCCGGCACAGGTCACAAACACCCTCATGCTGTACCCATACATTCCTTTCCTAGGCATAATGCAGGCATTTGGAATGGGCCAGCGTGGAGGGGCTCTCTGAGAGGTGGCCATGAGTGGGGTCTGGATGACTAGGAAGATCTGGCTGGCTCCAGCCCTCAGCACAAGTGTCTCAAGTGGAAGGAACTGCAGGAACGGAGGACCTGAGGGTTTTAGCCCTAGTGTCATGAAAAGCCACAGGAGTGTTTTCACTCCTGAAAACGTTTATAATGTGATTCCATTAAAACGAACCATCCTGGTGACTGTGGGAAAGTGGACCTGCAGGAGTGAATGCAGGGAGACAGCACCAAGGTGGACATGCAGGGGTCCACCATGACCACGACATCCATTTCTCACAGAGAAGGTGCCTGGTCATGGCCTGGCCTCATGTGAGTATTGAAAAAAATGGCAGCTGTTGTCTTCTGTTCACTAAGCATATATTAGTCACCTGCTGTATCCCATGCTGGAGCCACAAAAGTGAAAAAACAGCCCTCAAATCCCTGTTTTCTTGGATCGCACACGCCACTGGGGCCAACAGTGACTATAAAATGAAATTTCTGGTGAGGAATAGGCCCACAAAAAGAACATCTTTTGAGGGGTGCCTTGCTGAAGAGGGAGACTGAAGTAGAGACCGGGAGGAAGTGAGGACAGACTGTGTGATCGTTCGGGGGGCAAACATTCCAGACGGAAGGAACAGTAAGTGCAAAGGCCCTGGGGCAGGGAGGTCTCCCTTCCCACCCTGCAGTTTCTGCCTTGGCACATTGAGAGCAGCTTCCTGGCAAGTGGAAATCGTGTACCCTGCCCAGAGGGTTCTTCTCAGGGTCTCCCCCTGCTCAGCACCTACCTCATCCTCGGTGTAGCCAAGGATGCCAGCCATAGGCCCCTTGGCTGCTGCTTTTACAGCCTCCTTGATGGCTGAGTAGGGGGCTGGCCGGGCGAGGCGGCAGGTCAGGTCCACGACAGACACATCCGGGGTTGGTACCCGGAACGCCATCCCCGTCAGCTTCCTGGAGAATCCCCCATGAGGGGCAGGAGTCAGAATTTAGGGATACCACCCTCCATTTCCCCTTGCCCTAAGACTGGGCCAGGCCCCTGCTTTCCCCTTAAGGACTGAGGGCCAGTCCAGTGGTCCCAGGGTGTGCCCCCACCCTGGTTGCAGCTTCTGGTCCTCATACCCTTTGAGTGCTGGGATGACTTTGGTCACGGCTTTGGCAGCCCCAGTGGAGGCTGGGATGATGTTCTGGTGGGCACCCCGCCCATCTCGCCAGGCCTTCCTTGATGGCCCGTCCACTGTCTTCTGGGTGGCTGTGTAGGAATGGACTGTGGTCTTGGGGAAGAAGAGGACCATGATGAGGCCTTCATGCTCCTAAGCTCCCATGCCTCTTTTTTCCAGGACTAGGGTGGTGGCCTTGGTGTGGAGGCTGGTGGGGCCACCACCACAGACCACGGGAGGGGCGTGTGCAGGCCAGGGTCCAGCCTTGCCTGAGGGTTGACTTCTGCACTGGTGGGCCTCTCCTCCTGAAACCAGCCTCACCCTCTTAACTCCATACACTAAGCAGGGCTCTGAAAGAAGAGGTTGGCTTTCCCTGCCATCCTTCCTGCCCCAGCCCTTCACCTTACCATCAACCCTTCGACGATCCCAAATTGCTCGTGGATGACCTTGGCGAGGGGGGCCAGGCAGTTGGTGGTGCAGGATGCATTGCTGAAATAGCCGAGGTGTGCATGGGCTTACTTTGAGGTAAGACGCAGAGCCACCCTCCACCCTTACCCCTCTTGTGAAACGTCAGGATGAGGGTGAGAGAGATTGGTGGGGATGCTGTCAGACTGAAGGAGGCTGGGGAGGCTCCCCAAGCTTGTCCTCCTGAAGTCACGCATTTTTAGCAGATAGTTTTGGGAAGGAGAAGCAGAAGCCAACTGACTAGGAATCCAGTGGGGCTGAGGGTGGGGAGGACGAGTCTACCCTCTCTTCCACAGCCTGGTGTGTCCTCGGGCGCCACCCACACACTGCAGGATGTCGCTGCCCTCCTTACCTGACAATGTTCATGGAGCCAGGGTTATAGTCATTTTCGTTCACACCCATGACAAACGTTGGTGCATCCGGCGAGGGCGCAGAGATGACCACACGTTGAGCACCTGCCGAGATGTGGTCCTGGGGAGGAGGCGCAGGTGTCAGGTGCTTCTGGCGCCATCGTCCCCCTAGCCGGCCCTGGGCACGCCTCCCCTGCTTACCGAAGCTGCTTCTATGGAGAGGTACACGCCTGTGGACTCCACCACGTAGGGGCTCCCAACAGCCCTCCAGGGGATCTGTTTGGGCTCCTTGCTGCGGGGTAGTGGCAGGGCTGAGTCAGTCTCCCCTGCGTGGGTCCCACTCTTAGAGTCCACGGCCTTCACCATTTGAAAGGCTGAGCATGCGCCTTCTGCAGGTGCTGCCCGGCCTGCAACCACCTGCGTCCCCCACCCCACACACCTACCTGCCCCAGATGGACTGCACCCTGCTGGCCTTGCTTTTCACCACTGCCCTGCTTCAGACCACTTTCCCTTTGTTGATTGCACCACCCCTGCTATGCCTGGGTACTGGCAGTGACCTCCCCAACTCAGCCCTCAACTTCCTCAGAGGCACCAACCCTAACTGGTGCCAGCCAGCTCAGACCCTTTCTTCATACACTGCCCGGGACGTGGACTCTGTGACCATGAGGCCTGCCCAGTTGCTTTCTGGTCCCCAGTGCTGACAACCTTGTCATGAACCCTCCTGGACCCTCAGCTCCTGCAATAGGAAGCCGGCTGCCAAAGGCCAGGAGAGTCTCTGAAGACAGACACTGCATTAAAGAAAAAGCTCCTGGAGGAAGCCTGAAGCCTGAGGCAGCCTTGGGCCAGCAGTGGCTCCTGGTTTACATTAGAAAATTAAGGGAGGTTTGGGGTTCCCTGTTTTCTACGTTTACGTTTTTACTTGGCATTTTGACACACGTTTATATTTGAAACATACTAAACATCTAGTATTGCTGTTTTCTACTTGGCTTTAGCAACAAGCATTAAGCGAATAAACTGCATTCCGCTCTCTTCCTTCCTGGGTTTATCATGAGTAACCAGGTGCTTTGCTTCTGTGATTGTCGGTCAGTGTTGGTCTGTTTCCATTGCCATTGATCCTGCTTCCCTCAATGGGGGGGTTCAGTCAGTGTTTGTGGTTGGTTTTGAGACAGGGTCTTCCTCTCGCCCAGGCGGGAGTGGTGGTGCAGTCACACAGCTCACTGTAGCCTTGATCTTCCTGGCTCAAGCCATCCTCCTGCCTTGGCCTCCCAAGTAGCTGGGATTACAGGCTCACACCACCATGCCCAGCTAATTTTTAATTTTTTTGTAGAGATGGGGTCTCACTTTTGTTGCCCAGGGTGCTTTAGAACTCCTGGGCTCAAGTGATGCTTGGCTTTCCCACAGGTGTTGGGATTACAGGTGTGAGCCACTGTGCCTGGCTTCAGGTTTTTTGTTTTTTTTCAGGCAGAGTATCACTTTGTCACCCAGGCTGGAGTACAGTGGCACGATTTTGACTCCCTGCAACCTCCGCCTCCTGGGTTCAAGCGATTCTCCTGCCTCAGCCTCCTGAGTAGCTGGGATTATACGCGTGCGCCACTAACGCCCAGCTAGTTTTTTTTTTTTATTTTTAGTGGAGACGGGGTTTCGCCATGTTGGCCAGGCTGGTCTCAAACTCCTGACTTCCTCCCACCTCAGCCTCTCAAAGTGCTGGGATTATAGGCATGAGCCACTGTACCTGACCTCATTTTTTTTTTAAGCCATTTTATACATGTTTACTGAACATTTGCCCTGTGCCCATATTCTAAGTGCCTTACATGTATTAAACTTATGTAACCTTCACAACCCAAGGAGGAAGTGCTACCCCTGTCAGGGCAGAGGGGAGGGGAGTGAGGCAGGGCCTGCTGGAGTGCAGGCAGGCTGGCCTCACCTTGGGTCTGCACTCTTGGCTCCACTGCCTGAATGAATGAATGGGCTGTCCCGCAAGGCCATAGCACATGGTTATCCTCTTCCTGTCAGACCACTTTCCATCATCTAGCCCAACTAGCTCTTCTCAGATACCTCCTATTTCCTGCCTTCCAAATTAGGGACACTTCAGATTCCTCTGCAGTAATTGCTGAGTTGGCCAGAGGCAAACAGTATGTCCCAGAAGACCCCAGGCCCTCCCCCAGGCTGTCATGGGCCCCAGCCTCCTGCCCACTGGGCTGTTAGGATTCCATTCATTCATTCAAAGGAAGTTCTGAATGTCTACCAGGGCCTGTACCTGCTAATGCCAGAGCAAAGGGTGGCACCAGTTGACAGAGCCCTCCTTGCAAAGCTGTGGCCTTGTGGGAAGTGCCCCTTTCAGTGTCCACAAACACGTGTTCACTCCATTTGTGCCTGCAGCTACTGCTGTGGTGGGTTTGCTCATCATCCCCATCAGCTACAGGATGGAACTGAGGCTCAGGCAAGTTTGGTCCCTTGCCCAAGGTCACACAGCTAGCAGCGGAGGAATGGGGCGGAGTGGGGCGGAGTGCAGGCACACCGCCTGGCTTGTGCAGCCCAACAATGCAGGGATGGAGAGAGGACTGGGGAGGGGGACCCCATTGCACAAGTGACCAGAGAAGGCAGCACCTGAGTGGGGGCGGGGACGGAGGGGGCAGCTGGGTGGGGAAGGGGGATAGCTTCAAGTGGCAGGAATGGGGGTGGCCAGGTTGAAGTCTGCGTGATGACTACAGTGCTGGAGTTGTTTTTGGTGTTAAGCAGCTTTCTTCCATTTTCACTGACTCTCCAGTCTCTGCGCCCCCACCCATAAACTTCCTGCACCCATCCCTGCCCCTTTATCACTCACCCTACCCCCAGTAAATACAAAGAGAAGGGCTGACATTAGATCTGTAGGGAGGGGTGCTGGGGACCCCCGCCTGGGCCTGGACAGGGTTCTCTAGTGTGCCTGCGTGTATGTGCATGTGTGGGTGCGTGTGGGCACCTGTGGGCATGCGTGTGTAAAAGCCCCAGGCAGCCACAGAGCCAGGAGTGGCTAACAGTTTACGTTAGAAAGGTGAATGTCGCCGGGCGCGGTGGCTCAAGCCTGTAATCCCAGCACTTTGGGAGGCCGAGGTGGGTGGATCACGAGATCAAGAGATCGAGACCATCCTGGTCAACATGGTAAAACCCCGTCTCTACTAAAAATACAAAAAATTAGCTGGGCATGGTGGTGCGTGCCTGTAATCCCAGCTACTCCGGAGGCTGAGGCAGGAGAATTGCCTGAACCTAGGAGGTGGAGGTTGCGGTGAGCTGAGATCACGCCATTGCACTCCAGCCTGGGTAACATGAGTGAAACTCCGTCTCAAAAAAAAAGAAAAAAAAAAAAGAAAGGTGAATGTCAGACAAAAATAAAATTTTAAGCCCCCCACAACTAACTGAATGCAGCCCTTCTCTCGGCCCAGGGCATTCTAAATAAACTCGAAACACTCGTTCAGGCTGTGATGGGAACGGGTGCTTGCACAAGCCTCATTATACCTTCTTCCCTTTGGAGGAATTCAGCTACAGTTGACCAGCAGTGGCCAATGGGTGCTGAGTAAGTGTGGAGTTGAAGGGGAAGCATGAGTTGAGTTCTGGACATGTTGAAATGCCTATGAGAAAACGTGCGAATGATCGTTAAAGCAAAAGCATTCTAGGCAGGGTGTGATGGCTCATGCCTGTAATTCCAACACTCTGGGAGGCCAAGGTGGGAGGACTGCTTGGGGCCAGGAGTTTGAGATCAGCCTGGGCAAAATGGCCTCTATAAAAAATTAGCCACGTCTGGTAGCTTGTTCCAACTACTTGGGAGGCTGAGGTGGGAAGATCACTGGAGCCCAGGAGGTCAAGGCTGCGGTGAGCTATGGTCACACCACTGCACTCCAGCCTGGGCAAGACAGTGATACCCTGTCTGTAAAATAAATAAATAAATAAAAAGAAAAAGCGTTCTTGAGTACAGTGAGGCATCTTTTTGGATTAGTGCTTCTTAACCATTTTGGGGGTGAAGGACCTGAGACTCCCCTCTTCTAATCAGTACCTAGAGGCATGCACATGCAATTTTGGGGGTGGTTTCACTACAGGTGAGAGGCTGGAATCGCATTTTAGCCACCTCCACATCCCCTGCCTCAGTATGTCAGGGCTGTGCATCAGACAGATCTCTCCTTACCACTGGTAGACAGAGATCTCATGGTTGTCCACGACCAGCTGTCCATTCCTGAATTCCACACTCCCCTTGTATCGGCCGTGGGTGGAGTCATACTTAAACATGTACACCTGTGGGGGATGAAACGGCTCCTAGTCTTGGGGTGGCAGGGTGAGCATCCCTAGAGTCCCCCCTTTGGTGAAGGTCTCACATTGCAGCTGAGAACCCTCCATACAGCTCCCTTGAACCCCCTTCCCACCCCAGTCCCACCCTGCTGTTCCTGCCCTCTGTCTGCTACTGACCATGTATTCTGGGTCAATGAATGGATCGTTCACAGCCACAACCTTAACACCCTTCTCCATGCAGGCACGCAGCACCAGGCGACCAATGCGTCCAAATCTGGCCAGGGACAGACAGAGGAAGGGGTGGGAGAGAAGGGGTAATGGAGAGGAGGCTCCCTCAAGGAGACTGGTGGGAAACCTTAATCCAGGGGAAGAAGGCATCCACCTCTGTGCAGGCCACAGTCATCTCTTGCCAAGATGACCTCACCAGCCCCTTTACTGCTTTTGCAGCTCCCTCTCCTGATCCATTCTCTAACCCCATTCCTTTTTTTTTTTTGAGACGGAATCTAGCTCTTTTGCTCAGGCTGGAGTGCCGTGGCGCTATCTCGGCTCATTGTGACCTCTCCCTCCTGGGTTCAAGTGATTCCCCTACCTCAGCCTCTCAAGTAGCTGGGACTACAGATGCGTACAACCACACCTCGATAATTTTTGTATTTTTAATAGAGATGGGGTTTTGCCATGTTGGCCAGGCTGGTCTCAAACTCCTGACCCCACATTGATAAACCTGAATCAGCCTCCCAAAGTGTTGGGATTACAGGCGTGAGCCACTGCTGCGCCTGATTCCTAACCCCTATTTTTAACCTTGTGGCTGAGTTTTTTTCATTAAAAAAACAGGTTTTTTTTTGTTTGTTTGTTTGTTTTGTAGAGACAGGATCTCGCTATGTTGCCCACGCTGGTCTCAAATTCCTGGTCTCAAAGGATTTTCCTGCCTCAGCCTCCCAAAGTGCTGGGTTTACAGGTGTGAGCCTGGATGTATCTTTTAAAACTTCAAGACAGATGACGTCTCTTGGCATGAAAATATCCACAACTGTCCATCAGTAAAACAAGATCCACAGTCCTTACTGTGGTGTAGCAGCAGCTCCTGGGTTTCCCACCGGCCTCCCTCCTTTTCCCCCTTACCTGGTGGACACCAGCAACTCTGACATCCTAGCTGTCCCTGAACACACTGAACTCACCTCGTCCCAGAGTCACTGCTTGTCTCGCTGCCTGGAAGACTCCTTCCCCAGCAAGATGCCCTGGGACCTGGCTGCCTCTGTTCACTCTGGCCCTATTCCAATGTCACCTTCTCCCCGAGGCCTTCCCTGACCACTGGTGAAGACTGCCGTCTCCAGCCTTACCTTTCCACTGGCTTCTACACTGTTCAAACACCACTGCACAATCTCATTTCTTTGATTACTGTCTTCCCCGCCAGAATGGGGGCTGAGGGTGGGGCCCCATCTGACTTACTCTGGGCTATTTCTCCAGGGTTGTTGGAATGAAAGCATTGATGGGGGAAATGTGGAGGTGCCCCCAGTTAGCAGCCAGAGGAGGGGCTGGGCTCTAAGGCTTGATCGGGGGCTGCGGTAGACTCACCCATTGATGCCCACAGTCAGTTCCTGGGCCACAATCTGAGGAGGAGGAGTAGCAGGGCGAGGAGGCGGCGGCGGCGGCGGCGGTGGCTTTATTTCCTCCTTGACTGGTGTGGGCTCTGATTGTGGCGGGGGCTCTACTTCAGCCTTGGGCTCAGGTGGGGGCGGTGCTCTGGTGACTGTGCAGGGGAAGGGAGGGAATGGGTTGCTTGACCACCAAAGTGAAAGAGAATGAACTGTCTTTGCTGCCCAGAATCTGTTACTGGCTCCTGGCCCCTGGCCTCTAGTGACCAAATGTTTAGCCCCATGTTTCCCAAACCCACTTTCTCTACAGGATAAACTTGTTTAAAATATCACTGCCAAGGGCCCTTCCCCGGAGATTCTAATTAAATGGATATGTACTTTCAACACAAATTGCTTGCGGTGACATTGTCTGTGCCTCAGTTTCCTCCTCTGTAAGGAGAGATAAAAGTACTTTTCTTAGGGGGTCGTTGTGAGAATTAAATAAGGTAATACTTGGAGTGCTTACGACCGAGCCCAGGAAACATTTGACACGCATTAGTATTTTGGAGATTGTTCCCCAAACTTGTCTGATAACTGATTTAGCCTAGTGGTCCCCAAACTGTTCTGACAGGAATCACCTGGGTGGCCGGATGTGGTGGCTCATGCCTGTAATCTCAGCACTTTGGAAGGCCAAGGCGGGAGGATCACTTGAGGTCAGAGTTCAAGACCAGCCTGGCCAACATGGAGAAACCGAGTTCTCTACTAAAAAACACTGTAATCTCAGCTCCTCAGGGGGCTGAGGCAAGAGAATCTCTTGAACCTGGGAGGCAGAAGTTGCAGTGAGCTGAGATCCCACCACTGCACTCCAGCCTGGGTGACAGCAGGACTCTGTCTCATGAGAAAAAAAAGAATCACCTGAGGAGGCCTCTTCTTAGAAAAATCGGACTCAGTAGGTCTGTACAGAGGCCCAGGAATCCTGTTTTTAATAAGCACTCCAGGCATTTCTCATCCCCAGGGAAGCTTAGAAAGTACTGTGTATCATACTCTGTGAAGCCCATGGAAGCACATATTGGCTCCCGCCTCTCCACCCACTTCCACTCCCAGACTGCACTTAAAAACACTGCGCCTGGAGGTGCGCTTCCACCTGAGCTACAGAGGCGGGTTTGAGAAGAGGGGAGAAGCGGAGACTCCAGGGACCTGGTGGCAGAGAGTTTCAAGCTGGAAACAAGACTGGCTCAGTCCACAGACACCTGCTGCTGTGTGGACTTGGGCAAGTTAATGAACCTCTCGGGGCTGATCCTCCATCTAGGGCCTGCTATGAGGGCTCAGTGAGATCTCAAGGCACACACATAGGAGCTGATTTCAATAGAAGAGGGAAGTCTGATCCTCCTCTATTAAAATGAGGATAGGGAGACAGCAGGGAGTAGAAAGGGGCTGGAGGGGGACAGTGGGAGTCCAAGTTTTAGCACCAAATCAAAGGCACCTGGGAGGTGGTGGGTCTGGGAACTGGGGGCCAGCCAGCCTGTCTCCCTGACCTCTCGCTGGTGCCACAGACCTTGTGGCCTGAGGCTGGACGATGGGTGTTTCTAGTGGCTGTCCAGGTTCATGAAGTTGTTAGTGTTTATTGGTGAACCTGGGGGTGTTTGCATCCCTGGGGTTGTTTCTGCTATTGGGGGAAGGGGATTTGCCCCCCTGGTTAAGAGTGGGAATCTAAGCCCAGTGGGTGACCTTTTGGAAGAAAACTGAGATGGTCCTCCTCTCCCAGTGCCCCCAGCCTTGCACTCTCTTCCCCTCCACTGTAGGGGTGGGGTTCCTGGGTTGGAGAAAAGCCTGGGGGTCAGCTGGGTGCTTCGTGGAGCTCCTCACTGCGTCTTCCCACTGAATCCCGAGAGGCATGCGCTATAAACCTTCTTTACAGAGGGGAAATGAAGCCCGAGGCCACGGAGCAGTGATGCGCAGGGCAGGCGTTCAAGTCCCGTGGCTGTTAAGCCCATCTGCTTCTTTGTCTTTCAGGGTCTCCTGGACCCAAGCCCTGCCCCACACCAGCCCTACCTACTCCTGCAGCCCTGCCTGTGGGAAGTGAGGGAACAGCATGGGAGTGGGGGCAGCCCACCCAGAAGACCTGGTTCCTCCGACTAGAGTGAGTGAGTGAATAAGTGTGCGTGCACCACCATTGTTGAGAAACTAAGGAAGTGGTTTGCCCTCTCTTAACCTCTGTTGGCCGCTCTGTAAACTGCAGGCACACACTGGCCTTCTCAGGTGATGGTGAGGCTTCCCTGAGCTCTGGCCTGCAAAGTGGTCAGCAGTTCCTGGCAGCCTGCAAGTGTCCTTGCTTTGTGCATCACAGGGAGGGCAAAACCCACCTCACGAGAAACGCCTTGAACATTACTTTTACGTGGAAGCCCAGCCCACCCACACCCAGTTCTCCATAAGCCACTCCTAAACCTGCCTGCTTCCCGACACCCTCAGGCTGCAGCCTCTGATGCACACCCGCTTCTGCCCTTTCCACCGGGTGATAGCGGTGCGAAGCCCACCCAGCCCTGGGGGCGGAGGTCTGGTCTCCACGCCATTGCGGTAGACCCTACTCTGCCAGTACACCCCGGCGGGTGTGGAGGAAGGGAGGGTGGACGACCTCCCGGCCCTTGGATGGTGCACATGCCAGGAAGGGCAGTTGGGATGCGGCACTGGTTCGAGGGTGCGGATGCTCCCCACCACGCTTTCCACCCGCTCCCCATGTCCCTGCTGCCTCCCTCACCTGGGCATGGCTGTCGCAGCAACTGGACAACGGTGACATTGGTGAGGACGATGTCGCGTTTCGACATGGCCTCTTATAAACTTATCATGGCCTGGCTGCCCTGGGACCCTCCGTGAGGTTACTGAGGTGAGTGCGGGGTGGCGGGGTTGGTGGGTCCTGGGCCTCTTGACGTGATGTCACAGTGCTCAGTAATGTCACAATACCCAGTGACATCACCAAGGAGGCAGTGCCCAGGCCAGAGGCCACAGACCACCGCATCCCATCCCTGTAGGGGCGTGGGACGTCAGCACGCTGTGCACCACCGTTCCATGGCCATGCACTGCCTCTAGAATGGAATCCCACTTTTAAAAATTATCATTTGTGGCTGGGCGCAGTGGCTCATGCCTGTAATCCCAACTCTTTGGGAGGCCAAGGTGGGAGGATCACTTGAGCTCAAAAGTTTCAGACCAACATGGGCACTGTGGCAAAACCCCATATCTACAAAAAATAAAAAAAGTAGCTGGGTGTGGTGGTGCATACCTTTTGTCCTAGGGAGGCTGGGATGGGAGGATTACTTGAGCCTGGGAGGTCAAGGCTGCAGTGAGCTATGATTGAATCACTGCACTCCAGCCTGGGCGACAGAGCAAGACCTTGTCTGAAAAATAGAAAAAGGTGTTTGCCCAGTAAACTATACTGAATGAATAAATGTCAATTCGTCAGGTTTCTTCTGAAGGCCAATATTTTTTTTTTTCTTTTTTTTTTGAGACAGAGTTTCGCTCTTGTTGCCCGGCTGGAGTGCAGTAGCGTGATCTCAGCTCACTGCAACCTCTGCCTCCCGAGTTGTTGGGACTACAGGCGCCTACCACTACAGCTAATTTTTTTTTTTTTTTTTTTTTTAGTAGAGTTGGGAGCTTCACCTTATTGGCCAGGCTGGTCTTGAACTCCTGACCTCAGGCGATCCACCTGCCTCGGCCTCCCAAAATGCTGGGATTACAGGCATGAGCCACCTCGCCTGGCCCTGATACCAACCTTATCGCACCCTCCACGTCATAACTTCTGGCAGCACCCATTCTTTTCCTTGTAGCTTTTCATGTAGTTTGTTGTGATCTATTGATCGGTTTATTTGTCTGACATCGCCCCCTTGGGCTGTAAGCCCCTACAGGGCTTGTGTTCTTGTCTGTCTGTTCACGACTGTGCCTCCAGCACTTAGAACAACACAAAGCGCGTTTTCAATAAACATCTGGGGAAGAACAAGCGGACAAACAGCTCCCTCCCCTGCAGCCCTGGGGTAGGGGTTTGCTTGCACCTTGGTGACTCACAGGCACATACCCTCACCTGCACAGCAGGTTGACACGCAGCTGTGACCAAGGTTTGGGGGAGTGGGGGTTTGCGCCAGGAAGGAGTCACCATCCCAGAGAGGGGTGGATGCAAGAAGGGCAGAATGATATAACCTCTTCCTTCCGCCAGCATCCATGGGAAATTCATTTGCCAAGAACCTGGCATGGGAGTGGGGCAGGGTGAGGCTCTCCTGCTTCCATGGCCTGGGAGAAGAACTGAAAGTAAACTAGGTGTATAGGTGAGGAGGTTTTAATTAACCCAGACCAAAACACAGACGATTAATTCAACAAAGGAGCTACATTTTGGTGTACAAGCAAAGAGGGGAAAAAATACAGTATCAACAAAACCAGGATTTAAAAGGGGCTGATTTTGGCTGGGCGTGTCAGCTTATGCCTGTAATCCCAGCGCTTTGGGAGGCTGAGGCAAGTGGATGCCTTGAGATCAGGAGTTCGAGATCAGCCTGGCCGACATGGATGGTAAAACCCCACTTCTACTAAAAATACAAAAATGGCCAGGCATGGTGGCATGCGCCTGTAATCCTAGCTACTCAGGAGGCTGAGGCACAAGAATTGCTTGAACCTGGGAGGCAGAGGTTGTGGTGAGTCGAGATTGTGCCACTGCACTCCAGCCTGGAGTCTCACTCCAGTCGCAACAAAGTGAGACTCCATAAAGAAAAAAAAAAGACAATTCCAGGCCATTCTCAGTTATGGAGACAGTTGCCAAAGTCCTGAATTGAATCATGGCACATGGGAATAGAGAGACACATGGCTGGAGAGGGGTAGAGAAGATGGAACACAGTTCAAAGTGGGAGAAACCCCATCTTTTGGTCCCCAGGTGGGTTCGGATTCTGATGCTCATCACCCACTCTTCTCTGCCCAGCTACCTCCTGGCAAGGGAAACTCCATCATTTCGGCCCTGGACCAGGGCAGAAGAACCACACCTAAGTTTGCCCAGGAATTTGGCTCTTTCCCTGGAGTGTGAAACCAGGAAACAGATTTGATGAGCTCAAGCTTCTAGAGGTGGCACAATTAGTCACCCTGTATAGGCAGAGCCCAGAGAAGGCAGAAGCTCCTGGGTATCTGTCCTGGGGTTCCTGCCTTTGGGTGGAGCCAAGTGTCCAGGAGCTGGGGAGGAACCCCGGGTCCTCTGAGGGGAGTGGGCCTTAGTGCCCTTGTTTGAGCAAAGCCTGAAAACACGTGCAGATTCTCGCCACACCTGGGCACCCACACACATAGCTCTGCCACCCCCGGTGGCTCACACCCTGCACATTCCTTCCTCCCTGGCCTTCCCACCAGCAATCCCACCTCCGCCCCTCTCAGTCTCTCCCTTTGGCACCAAAACCCAAATATCTTTCACCCCTGCACCCACGGTACCTACCTCCTGGCTCTCGTTCTTCTGGTCTTAGCCTCCCTCCGAACTGGCTCCTAGATCCATCTGCTGCTCCAAGCCTGCCCACCACCACCAGCCCTTCCTTCCAATGCCCCTTTTCATGCCTGAGGCCAGACTCAGCTGTTTCCTCTCTAACCCAAGCCAATATGTGGACACTTGGGGCTTCAGGTTGGGGCCTAGGAGGTCCCGTGGAGGGAGGGAAGGAAGGATGAGTGCCTGGCCCCAGCCCAGGTTCTGGCTCACAGGCTCCTGCTGCCCCGGGTCTTCAGTCCCTCCCTGTGGCTGCCTCAACCGGCTTTTCAGGAGACACTGCATCCTGTTCCAGCTCATGGCAATCAGCCCCCTGCCCATGCCCAAGGGCTGGGAGGCAGGAGGTCTGGGTTCTGTGACAGGAATGGGATCCTACCTCCAAAATCTGTGACACTCCCCAAGGGACCCTATGCTACTCTGGCGACCCAGGCACCCTTCCCTCCAGCACCCTGTGAGACCCAGGCTTGGGCTTGGAGTCTCTTCCCTTGGCTTCTTCAAATCCATCCATCTGTCCAGGCAATACATACTGAAACCCAGGCAGTGTTCAAGCTGCTAGGAATACAGCAGTGACCAACATGACCAATTTACATTCCTGCTAGGTGAGACAAGCAATAAAAAATAAAGGTAATTTCAGATTTTTTTTTTTTTTTTTTTGCTATGAAAACAAAAGGGTGATACTACAGAGTATAATTAATGCCATGCTATGGTCAGGGGAGGTTTTCTTGAGAAAGTGGCATTTAAGTCAAGTACGGACGAGGAGGAGCCACCCATGTGAAGACCTGGGTTCTGCATTCTAGGCAGAGAGGAGCACGTGCAAAGGCCCTGCAGCAGGAATGAGCCTGGTGTGTTTGTGGAACGGGGAGAAGGCCTGTGTGGCTGGAATGGAGTGAGTGAGGGGCAGGGGCCGGCCCAGAAGAACGAGGTCTGATGACTCCCTCAATCCCCCTAGAATTCTCCCCTCTCCCGACAGTGCCTCCCATCATTCTAGCCCCTCATTGCTGGAGGAGATGGAGGCTTAGATGCCTGAGCGGAGTGCGGTATTGAAGAATCACCTGCCTCCCAGGGATGGAGAGTGTTGGAAGGTGGGTTTGAGAGAGAGGAGGCCTGGACAGTGGATGAGGAATGAAAAGAGGAGGTGGCTGGAAGGGCAGACACTCATCTCTGGGGTGGAGGGCAAGGAGCAAAGATGCCAGAGTCCTGCTCTATCCATGACTCACCCTCTCTTCCTCCTCCTCTTCATTGCCCAACTCCAAATCTCCCTGGGAAACACCTCCTTGACTGAGGACCAAGTCAGTGCCTCACAGGGGTAATTGAGTCATGAGGGGTGGAGAAGAGGGAGAATTAGATAAATAGCAGTGTGGCTTCCAGGGCTCCTCTCTGCATCCTCCCCCACCTTCCCAGCAACATGCATCTCGCACGTCTGGTCAGCTCCTGCTCCCTCCTTCTGCTATTGGGGGCCCTGCCTGGATGGGCGGCCAGCGATGACCCCATTGAGAAGGTTATTGAAGGGATCAACCGAGGGCTGAGCAATGCAGAGAGAGAGGTGGGCAAGGCCCTGGAAGGCATTAACAATGGAATCACGCACGCTGGAAGGGAAGTGGAGAAGGTTTTCAACGGACTTAGCAACATGGGGAGCCAGGCCGGCAAGGAGTTGGACAAAGGCGTCCAGGGGCTCAACCACGGCATGGACAAGGTAGCTCATGAGATCAACCATGGTATCGGACAAGCAGGAAAGGAAGCAGAGAAGTTTGCCCATGGGGTCAACAACGCTGCTGGACAGGTTGGGAAGGAGGCAGACAAACTGATACACCACGGGGTCCATCAGGGGGCCAACCTGGCAGGAAGTGAGGCTGGGAGGTTCGGCCAGGGG